ACTGTATTTTTCTCACATGTAATATTTTACTTCCATTACACCCACAAGTTTCGTAATTTTAATTTTAAAAAATAAAAAATTGAACCGAAAATAAAATTCTGTTATTTTCTAACTGATGGGTAATTTTAATTTATTTATTTTCATTTTAATAGTACGGTAATTGCCCTTCAATGATACGTACGCTCAAGATTTTAAGCGAGTTGATAAACAACCCAGAGGGCGGATAAATTCATATTGTGCAAGAACAAAAAGAGGGAGAGAGAAAAGGCAAATTAATTATTGTAAAGCTCCGAGTTGGCTTTGGTAGAGTTGTATTGTGCACGCGGTTCTTCATAATGAAGTTTGAAGTTGTGTTTTGTACGAGCACTTTACTGGGTGGGCAAAAAGTAAAACCCGAAGCTTAATTCAAAGGGATTTCACCCGAAGGGTATATATAATTTTAAGAGAAAATACAAATTCTCCGAAATGAAATCTCTTGTGTTTGTAAAAATAAACGCACCAGATAAAAAAAAATGTCTAAAAATGGTGAACACCAAAATACACGTGTTGAAAAAAGCAGTTGGACAGTTCGGTGATATACATATTTTTTTATATTATAATTTTTACCATAAAAAGGTAACAAAAAAAGTTTGAAATTCGTAAAAATAAAAATCGGCAAGCAGCACGAAAATTTTTGAATATGGTGTCTTTTTGCACTTACATATTTTTCGACCTGATGATCAATGCATTAATTACGCTTTTTTATATACAAAAACCCATTGTTACGAGCATTATTTTACAGCCACTTCTTTATATAAATAAGTAAATTTAAAAAATGTTGATCAGCCGGTGCCCTTTAGTCCATTATTTATGTTTATGCTTTTAAAGTGAAATGAAAAAAATTTGCACCAGCTTGCGATAAGCTTGAAAAACTCGAGTAAAAAAAAAAAAAAAAAAAAAAAAATAATCTGTAAAAATTATTACCAACTGGGAGACAAAAAACCTGCCGCCATAATTAAATGTTTCAACTAAAGCACCGCCCACTCTCTTCCTCACACACGCAGAAGGAATCACGAGAGCGCCGACAATCACACCTTGCAGCTGCCAATCGTATTTCTCACGTTTCGTTATCGCGTTTTCAATTCCAAAGTCGCGAGCTATACACACACACTCGTTGTTATCATCGAAATTACGAGCCCCACTCCCCCGCGCGATACTTGTAACGGGCACCATTAGAGCGGAACCCCCTATTATCACCGTGAAGCCATTCGATCTCCTCCTCTGTCACCCGACGCGCCGATGTTGTTGCCACACCTGCCTATTACATGATACGGAAACCACGCGCTTACGCTATACCGTCGCTGCCGCCGTACATCGTATACGTAGCTTCATCCTCGTTTGTTGTCGAGAAAAACAGATAACCCGAGCAATGGGACATGGTATGGGTTGCCGTATAAGGTTTACCATTGGCCCCGCGGTGATGTTTTGCTCAGCGCGTTCTCGGGGACATTCACGCGCGTATAAAAATTACGACCCTCCGGAAGGAGCTGCTTTTTTTTTTCTCTCAAGTATTTACGGGCGATTAAGTTCAAAATGGGAGCAAGGGTTGTCGCCGGGCTTGATTGCAGCTCCGCGATTCTTGGAAGATTACGTGCGCTTGACATGTTTAGCCAGAGGAGAAAAATCGTTAAGGTTTTTCGCCCGTTGGCGATTGCTCGTATAGGTGGATAAGTATATATTATACTGTTTCTGACTTCTGGATGTGATTTCGCTAAGAAAATTATGGTATAGGTTGTTACGAGCATTGAGTTGGTCTTGCGGAACCGACAAAAGTTAATTTTCAAAGTACAATAATAGCATTAGATCATGAAGGAGAGAGAAAAAAATTAAATAAAAAAGAGTCAGTTAACATGTAGAGACTAATACAGTAGGATTGAAATTGTTTTGATTTTTGCCAAAATTCCCTATACAGTATCGCGTCTCAGGAAAATATTTCGTTTGATCAATGGTGGGTTGGTAAAAGTTTCGCGAGGGAGAATATCCTTATTTTTTCAATCCAGTAATCGAAGCGCTAGAAAACAAACAAACAAACAAACAAAAACCAGAGCAGAAAGTAATTTCAAGCAGAGATACGCGTCGCCCCCCCCATCAGGAGTAATTGCCGATCGGCACATAGGAGAAGGGGAGATAGAGAGCTGCTGTGAACCCTATGCTTTTAACTTTATTACTTTAAAATCGAAAACGACTGGAATTTTTTCGCCAAACAAGCAAGTATTTCTCCCTATCTACCTTTTGCCCCCTCGGTAAACCCCCCGATCAACAGCTGCGTATACGCGTATTCGCAGAACCGACCAAAATGTCCTATTATTTGCAATAAGCTTACATATATATATATATAAATATCATGATGGTCATGGCTCTGGTTATCGATATTTAATGTGACGCTTGTTCGCAGATTGGTGCCCGACGGTCTGGGACGGCCTCATGTGTTGGCCGTCGACGCGACCCGACCAGGACGCCGTTCAAAGCTGCCCCGACATCCCCCAATTCGACCCGAGGGTATGTTTTATCCATTTCTAGTGTATTACGCAAATATTGTATACCAATATGGGCCCAGTTAATTGGTATACGTGTAAGCGTGAAATAATGCACTCGTACCTATACTCTTAACGTGTCTCGAGGCATGTTAATCCGATTTGTATATTCTTCCGCTCTGTAAAAGTTTATTGATTGGCATGTTTTTTTTTTTCCCTCAATAAAGACTTTTTGATTCCACGTATATGTACCTATACGTGTTGTTGGGTCCTGCACTATACTTACATTGATTGATATGCATGATATATAAATGTGTGAAAAAAATAATATAAAAGTATAATTGTTAATGATTTCGTGAAAAGTTCAACGCGACGAAGCAGTGCTTGGTTAACGGCAGCTGGTACCACGATTCCGAGTACGGACAATTCTGGACCAATTACACCGAGTGCTACCTGCCCCTGCCCGCGGAGGACTTGCAAATTTTCGAAGTAAGAGCAACACTCGATCCACATTTTTCCCCAACCATCCTCTTCATCCATCATATAACATCGTTCAAGTGCAAAAGTTTACTTTGGCGGCACTTGGTTTCGTCACGTACAGGGCAAACATTACTTGGATTATGACATTATACATTTTCTGCTCATACACGCGAGTATTATATAGCACACATAATCGCGAGGGCAAAGAGGATTAGGTATACGTGCGATGCCGCTGTACATTGCAGCGGATGGTTTGTGAAGAGGGTGTTCCCATAATACATCTCCAATGTAAAATGTTTGTATACCTATACATGCATAGGGTAAAATAACAAAAGTACATGTATACATATACATACATGTGTAATATGTAGAGAGAACAAGCGATGGAGCGGCTCTCGTGAATTAATAGGCGGGCTTTGGGGGGAATGTTTGTTGCCAACTTTGGCCGATAAGTACCGGCTAGCTGTAAGTACGCGAGATGATCGACCAAACTTCAAACTCTCAGGAGTTGGCCAGAGGTATAATTGATATTTCGTTGGTAATGGTGGATTAATATTTTTAATGTATTTAGGTAAAACTTGTTGCACAAAGTGAAAAGGTACTTCGTTATTGACGGCACGATTGTTACGATGAATAATAAACAGAAGAAAATTTAATTTTTATCGACTCTTTTTGACGCGCGCTGACGAGAAAAAAAAAAATACATAGACGCGCTTTTTCAACGAAATTTAATTTCGGCGCGGTACGTATTTTTCGAACCGCCCGATGGATTTTGGGAGGTATATATATAACCGTGTTACGTGGCTACCATTTTCAACGAGTAAAATTTCGCGAGCGTCATAACTGCAGTGTACGGTACATACACACGTTTTAAATTTGGGCAACAAAAGTGAAACCGCGTTGGCATCGGTGCGTGCAATTTTTAAAATTCATGAATTCATCATGCATGACCTCGAGTTGATAATAATAGAAAGAAAAAAAAATATCACGATTTCACTACATCATTAAAAGCACTGGAAAACAAAAAAAAAGAAGAAAAAAAAAATCCATTCAAACGCCACACTATGTATACGTACATTTCCAGTTGGACGAATAAATCGGCTCAATCAGTTGGGGGTTGGGTTGATCGTTAAATTGACCGAGAAACGCGGACGATATCTTCCTTCCTCCCCGGCAATAGCTCATAAGCCGCTTCCTTCGAACGATCGCGCCATGAGGTACATAACATATATATATATAAGGAGATTCGAATGGTTTTATCAAAAAAATTCACGCGCATCGAAGACTTTGAAGGGCTTCCAAGCAGCTTTGAGGGACGAATGATATAAATTTATTCCGGTAATATGAGTACGTGATTTTCCTGGCGAAAGCAATATAGCATCGAATCTCCACAAAGCTTGCAATTTTAAAGGTTATTCCGAATGAATGGAAAATATGATTGCAAAAACCGCAAAGTGAGAAGAAATCGATGGGAAGCATAAGCACAAAGAAAGAAGCTGCAGCGAATGATATGGTATATCGTATGTGTTAGCCCACTCCTCGCATGTTATAATATGTAGGTATATCTTTGAGAAACGCGTTTGTTCAATACATGACATAGCCCGAAGTTGTACTTTTGCTTCCTTTCTCTCGTTTATCTTTTAAACACCTCGACCGTTCCCTCCCCTGCATGCACCCGCAGTGCAAAAGCTCTCGCTCTACAGTCGTACGCTACGTGGGTATGTACGTATATCTTTGCGGACTTGTTCCTCGCTCGGTCGATCTCGTCGTCGAACGCTGATGGACTTTTTGTTGGAAACTATACGCCGTCGTCGCCTCTTGTACGTGTGTGTACGGACAACCATAACTGCCGCTGCAGTTCAATTCAAACGAGGGTACATACGTAAGATGTATTCATGGTGTGCACACACTTTCGCGAAAACTTTGTTTAGGTGTATGTATGTAGAGGTTTATGGGTTGGGATTCAGTGGGACGATCAATGAAAACCAGTAATACTTTTAACCACATCGATGTACCAACGTATGGGATTTATTTCAAAAAGCAGCAATCACGAGCCAACTGTTTAAAAAAAAATTGTTTTACACGTGTCTTTTGAAAAGGGCTATATACTTTGTAGTTGCACGATTGTATCTCTCTCTATGATTCAAAGCAGTGTCCAAAGCATACGCGGGTGAACTATTTCACTGCCACACGTGACGAACGAAAATTTTATTTTATTTTTTGTTTTCTTTCAAAGTGCTGTCCTTTTCATGGAAACAACCGTTATTTTTTTTTTTTTTTTTTTCGTACAGTTTTAAATCTTGGAGGATGGATAATATCAAACCATTCGCAATGGTAAAGGCACATTGTACAGCTACTACCACCGCACGCTTCGCCAAAGAAATACACTTAACTGTACTCCCTCGGGGATAACAATGAGCTTGGAGCAAAAAACACACCCCGTCACTTCAAGGATTAGGTATTATTGTACCCATCATTCTCGGGAATCAATGACATCCGGTGGAATTTTCGCCGCGATAGATTAAGGACGATGAATTAAAGCTCTCGTGGTCAATTTCGGCTAATGCAATTGGGCACGGATATAATGGGTAATAAGTGGAATCGATCGCTGTTTGTTTTCTCCGTTGCCCCGAACCGCCGTCCAAAAAAGATCGAGGGTCAATAAGCCAAAGCCATCAGTGGTAAATATTTATTTTACGGTATAAGGTAAACGCAATATAAGGAGATTAGCGTGTGTGTACCAAAGGCGCGAACGAGAGCCCATAGCGCGGGTATAAAAAAACGAAGCCGCGCGCGAGACAAGCTGCCGGAAGCGAAATCAGAGGTGATTTCTCTCGAAACCCTTGGACCGTTGCGTAAATAACGGCGAGGGGAGGGTTTTTAAATTTTAATAAATCTTGGCAAGGGGGTAGACATGCCCTGTGAGAGTAGACAATAGGTATACAACATCCCGATATATATAATTGAAAATATACTCGAGCGTATGTGTATACGTATATGCTGTATGATGTATAGGTATACTTGTGCGTATCGATAAATTGAGTCGAAACCTATTGGATTACATGGCGTACAATATACACCCAACGTCAAAGCTTGAACCTATAATATGCAGCTTGATAACGCGTATTGTGTGTAATTACGCAAATCAGCTGTATAGCCAATGCCGAACCGTATATGTGATATGTTACATTATTGTGGTGACTGTGTGATTTCAGGCGTGGCTGCCAATAATAAAAAAGATATCCCGTCTGTGCAACGGTATTTCCATGGCATCCCTCGTCACGGCCATATGCATCCTCATGTTCGTGAGGTAAGAACTCGAGGGTGAAAAAAAAAAAAAAAAAAAAAAAAAAAAAAAAAAAAAAAAAATTGAACCGCGCTCATGCAACGCTGATTGAATCGTACGTCATCGGGTGCCTGTACATCAACTATACGATGAAATACCCTCGTTATAGGCACAAGCTATGAGTTTTGTNAAAAAAAAAAAAAAAAAAAAAAAAAAAAAAAAAAAAAAAAAAAAAAGGAAAAAGTAGCGTATAGAGTTGATGTATTTGCTGGACGTGTGTATGCTGTATGTAGCAGGAAGCTGCGGTGCGCGAGAAACACCTTGCACATGAACTTGTTCTTCTCGTTCATAATGCGGGGTATCACGTACACGCTCAGGGCCGACGTGTTTCAGCCGAACGACGAGCTGATCAATCCCAATAATCCGGACATAGAGACGCTGGCCCTGCACTGCAAGGCCCTGACCGTCGTCTGGCAATATTGCTTCATGGCTAATTATTTTTGGATTTTCATGGAAGGCTGTTACATCAGTTACATCGTTTATCACGCCCTGCAGGCCATCGACACCAACGTCAGGTGGTTCATCGCCGCCGGTTGGGGTAAATTACTTTTTTTTTTTTACTCGCGAGACTTTTTCTTTTTTCAAGGGAATTCCTTCAATTTTAATCCAATAAAACTACTCAAGTGGTTTTATCGCTCAAAACAAAAACAAATATTAATATCACGTCGCGACAGCTGAAACTGTAAATTCAACTGTTTAAAGTCACTCAAGTTGTTTTTTTTTTTTTTTTTTTTCCTTATTACGATAGTACCGTATTTGTATACTTCTTATAGTCTTTTTTATTTGTGTATAACAGGTATGCCTGCCGTGTTCACCGTCGTCTGGGTGGTACTCAAAATATATCACGAGAACGAGTACTGCTGGATCGTCAACGACGTCAAGTGGTTGTACGGCATCATAGCGTACCCCACCACTGCTGTCGTATTCGTGAGTAAAAAATATACTTATACCAACGTACCAACTCATCCACATGTCTGATGATTGTTTCTTTTCTTTTTTTTTTTTTTTTTATTATTTCTCATCAAGATCAATTTCGGTTTTTTCTGCTACATGCTCTACACGCTGCACTCGAAAATACGACCGTCGGAGACGCAAGCGTAAGTAATTGCTTAACGTATATTATACATACCTACATTTGTTTTTTTATATATATACAACGGCAATTAATATCCTGATAATGTGTTTGCCGATGTCATTCGTCAGGAACTTCATGAGAAGCATAGCGATACTGATACCGCTATTCGCAGCCCATTACGTCATATTGGTTTTCTTCCCGTACACCTCGAAATACGAAGACAAGACTTGGCTGCTGCTCTACTTGGTTGTGGATCAATTGATTACCTCCCTACAGGTATATATTGTATTGATTGCTCTCGATAATATGATTGGTACACTTGACGATGCGCAAACATATAAGCACACCAAAAGTGATGTGTATATACTTACTTAATAGACGTGAAGAGATATATGTGGTCAATATTTGGCCGAGCTTTTGATCAATTGCATTCCCGCAGGGCCTGTTCGTAGCGACGATCCTGTGCTTCCTGAACGCGGAGGTGCGCCACGAGGTCAATCAAAAGCTACGCAAGATGACATTGGCATCGGATCCCCTGCCCAACGGCGCTGCCCCGTCGACTACCGCCCGCGGCTTTCAAGCTCTGTTGAGGCGATTTTTCGTATGCATCTGCAGTGCCTCGTTTCTCCTGAGATCTCGACGCCACTCCGAAGTCCACACGCAAGGTATCTACATACGTATTTGTATGTACTCGATGTTGGACTTTTGTCCACGTAATTAAAAGTATATATTATGTGTATTGTGTTGTACCAAGTGTTTTGCTGCTCTCGCTTCCCCCCTGCCCCAAAGCTCGTTTCTTCCACTTTGGGTTACTTGGATGCAGCTTTTTTTTCCCAATACATGCACGGCTTGTTGTTGTTTTAAGCCACCGTTTTCGTGTGTATTACTTACTCAACACGATCGCCTAACAGTTGAGTTTCGAGGACGGAAAAGCTTCGCGTTGTGTGTATATACGATCCATAAGCGCATACACATATGAAGAAATCCAAGAAAAATATACCCTTTTTTCCCTTGTTTCAATGAAAAAAAAATTTTTATTTGACGCGTGCCCTTGAATACGTGTTTTTTCTTGACGGTACATGGAATATGAGTTAAAAAAAGCCCGTTTTCAAAGGCATGCGTTAAATACATTTTTTTATTCAAATAGGGAGTAAAAACGGGGTATTTTATATATTAACAATATTTTTCATTGATTTGCTTGGCGAATCTCATTTTTTTCATTGCCATATGTATAATCGTAGTTGTGTAAAAACGCGATGAAATTCGACTTGTATTGAATGAACCCTCGAAACCTCAACGAATTCACGCATCATCATTAGCTGTCCACCGAAAAAGAGCCAAAAAAAGCTTATTAATAATGAAGATGTAGAATTTTGTAGTTTTACACAGATATCGAGATCGGAATGCAACTTGAAAACATGTCCAGCCGTAACGGGACAGACTGTGGAATCGCAAGCGACTCGGGCGACTGTCAGAGATTGATCCCCGATTTCAGGCCCTCGCTCTTAGCCGGAATCCTTGGTAGTAATTGGCCAGACCGCGCGCCTAGTGTAAGTTCACACTTTAGACCTACCTATATACCAATTTTACTTTTCTTTCTTTCTTTTTTTTTCCCCGCACTCGACGTACTTAATTCATTCCATCGCCAGCAATGTTTTTTTTTTTTTCTTTTACCTCTCCTATGGGTTTGAAACGAGGCATGCATGCACGTTTTTCCACTTTTTGCGATTCTTTTTTTTTTTTTTTTTTTCCTGCCACACTTTTAAGCTCGAAAAATATTTGTGTCTTGCGGATGCTCTGTTTATTAAAAGAGATCAAGAAGCTTTGGGTTCGGTGTATTGTGCGCCCTCCAGCTTAAACTTGGACTTTATTAAATTAATAAAATGCACTTTTTTTTTTTTTTTTCATTAATACACTCGAGCGCGCGCGAGAGGTGCCATTTTTTACTTAAGCGACTCTTAAGAGCTTTTCATGCTACACAATGTATAAATGGGCTTGATAAATTTGGGTACTTGCATGATGAAAATTTTTTTTGTATAAATTGTGCAAGCAAAAATTATTTTTTAACCAACAGATAGATCTGATGGAAAAACGAGCGCTATACATCGCCAATCCGCGACTTCGCGGTGCTGATCGATATCAAAGGTGGATCGAAGACACGGAAGTGGGTTACAATGTCAATTGCATCATCGACGAGGAGAAGAGCTACTATGCAGGGACCTGAGAGTGATTTTCCTTGCGCCAAAGAAACGGCAGAGAAAAACAATGCCAGCTCGTTAAAGGGACCACAAGAAGAAATCTTTTGTTTTGTCGAAAAACCTGGTGGTGGTGATAAAGTGCCGTAAAAGTTGGACGGCTCTTGAATGGAAAAATAGCTTTGCAGTGGATTTCATGATCAAGAGAACTCCAGCCTTCAGAAAATAAACTTCCATACTGGCAGTTGTCTGTCTGATATTAGCCCTTAATCTTTGACCTAAGGTTTAGAGCGTGTTTTGTAATTTAACTACAGAGTGTCTGTGAAACGATACGTACAAAGATGCTGTATACGTATACATGTAGGTATTTTAAAAAAGTGTAAATTTTTGTGAGTTTTTTAATACATTGAAATCGATGATCCAACAGCAAAGTAATTGTTTGATGTTTTTGTGTACATTTAAGTGTGCCGATGATGTATTCAATCGAATCAAAAACCTTTTTCAACTTAGATCTGTGTGCGTATTGCTTACAAGGACTTTAGTGTAAGTTGCAACGTGCACCATTTCTGTGGTGAACAATAGGGCGTTGTTTCATTGTGAATACACTTTTAACTGTGTAAAAATTTTGTATAAAAAATTTCTTGCTTGTGCAAATAATCATATCATTGCATTTGAATTAAAGTCTGTTAATTTTAGTGTTTATTTTTAATTGATTAGCTCCCAAAAATATTTAAAAAATTATGTGTATTGTTTTCAGATTTATTAAAGCATTTATAATTTTTTTACCGTTATAAATTTCTTCATAAATATGTACAAATGAATACCTCTTATTCACTAAATTTCTTTACTTAAAATAAATTAAACCGGTTCATACATTCATGACGCCGCATTTGGTAATATCTTTCTTTTAAAAGTAGACTCCAACCAACTCGAGTCATCGTTTAATCTGTCATACTTTAATTTGCTCATCAAAACACTATTAACAATACTCTCAGCGTTATGTGTCTGACCAAAGTAATCAACGAAAGCTCCATCTGGGTCAATAAGATATATTATAATTGTATGATCCACCTGTAACATTCGTAATTGTTTATTTAACCTTTAACATTAACTTTTTGAAATATTTCAGTACTTACAATATAATCATTGTCTTGATCAGGAGGGCCATTACTGAAGTATACTCTATAAGCTTTGCATGCTTTAGCAATTTGATCTACTGAGCCAGACAATCCAATTATTTTGTTGGAGAATTCTTTAATGTATTTTCCAACGACAGAAGGACTATCCCTAGCTGGATCTACTGTAATAAATAATGGCTGAACCTTAAGTTGATGCTCATCCTCTGGAAAGACGATATTTAATTTATACATTTTTATTTAACGTGTTGAAACTAATGTAATAAAAGCATATCTTAAAACATACTGGATCTTACCAAGTTTGTCAATAACAAGTGCTAACTTTTCTAGTTCATCGGGACAAACATCCGGACAATGAGTGAAACCAAAATATATCATCACCCACTGGCCAAGAAAATCATCAGACTTTACCAGATTACCATTGGGATCGACCAGCTCAAATTTACCCCCAATGGCCGCTTTTCCAATATGTCTCTTGCGTTCTCTGGCAATTTTTAAGTCCTTTTGGTCCCTTAAATAGTACATAAAGGCCAAGAGTCCACTACCTATGACGCAAGTGACACCAACAGATTTCCATGTGATTGGTGATTTTTTTCTCACTAATTCAACTTTCTTTGGTGTATTAAATTCTTTAAATAATCGGAGACTCGTGCTTATACTGCGATTCTAAAAATCATTAAAAAAATATAAGTCGACTAACGAGTTTACGGCAAGTATTTAAACCCTAAAAGCCTCGACCATGCGTACTATGCAACCTTACTAAGAATATTGGATGTCATATCGTGACACGTGAGATTTTGAATAGATACATACAGTTGTATGCATGTTCAATGGTGCAATTATCATCTTTATTACAAAGTATAAGAAATATATGGTAGGTACCTGGGCCGGAACAATTCTTGAGCATCTAGGAAGAAAAACAAGCGATCGCAACAAAAAACTCGTCATCCTCGCGTTTGTTTTGAATCAACAAAAATATAACAGCTTATTTCCTCGCATGGAGGTTAGATTTCCCACGATGAATATATAAAACTTGCAATCTCCAAGTTGAATCAATTCTTGTGCCTTTCATCAAATTAAGTAGTATTAATAACTAACGAGTGACTGTGAGCGCTGTTACTTTAATTTTTTACTTACTTCTTCATCAAAATCTTATTGAAAAAGTTCACTACTCGAAATGCGATGTAGCGGCATGTAGTTTTGGGTCCTATCACTATACACTTGTTGTAACTTAATTGTTAACCTATCGATTTGTAGATTTATACGGACTTTGCATACCTGACTCGAGCTATAAATACCTGATAAATACTTAAACTTTTATTAATTAAAGTGTTGCCTAACATCAAGTAAGACTCGAAAACGGGATTAAAAAAAAAAAAAAATTAGCTATAAGCTACTTAAGCTACTTGCCTACTTTGTACTTTAGCTACTGCGCTTGCGCGACTTTTAAGCGGCATACGGCAAATTTAATTGTAGGTATTTTGTAATGTTGTAAGGTGTCAGCAGAAAATAAGAGTATCTCCCCCCATGTCAACATTATCAACCGCATTTATATAGGTGTATATACACATATATTGTATATTGTTAGATAAGTATAGGTAAGAATAAGGATATTGACAATAATGACAGTGCTTATTAAGCAGCGAGAACGAAGAGGCTTCATTTTAATATTACTTACAAAGCGAGTCTTTATTGTTTATGTTTTGTTTAGCTCTTCTGCAAAGGCTAAAATACTTGTTTTTCAGTGCAACCTGTGTAATGGCTATATCTTTTGATCAATCATACATAGGTAAGATAAAGGGGGTTTTAAACGTTAGAGATATTAAACGCTATCACGCTAATTCCGTGTTTTGTTTTTGCAACAGAGCCCTACTTGAAGGATTGGCTGAGATGCCTAATCGAGAACAACAAGGCCGAGCAGAAGCTGTTTGATGAAAATCAGGAATTTTACGTTCCTTTTACAGGTACATGACTTAATTGATTTGACTTTTGATTATTTATTAATCAACGATACAAGTGGCTAACATCGAGTTGCAGGTGTACAGGTGAAGGTGTTACGATTGATCTACATCATATGCAAGCACTTTGATGTCGAGCCCCAAGCAAAGTACATGGCCATTCACATACTGGATCGTTATTGGAGCAAACTGTTTTGGGAACTACTCTCGAGCCACCTGTCCTTTTTGTCTCCCGTTGCCTCGTCCTCAACGTCATTGAACATCCCCGAGTTCACGATACAACAGGTGTGCGAAAAGATGAAGAGCCAGGCCCAGATCGCAGTCGCCATTTGCATCCAGATCGCCAACAAAGTCGAAAGCGGTCTCGGACTCTCTCAGGTGAGCCTCGTTTTTTCTAGCATCATAAATTGTCGTTTTTTTTATACACCATGGCATCGATTACCCGCAGTTAAAAGAAATTCTGAAGTTGATCGACCAAGAGCACGAGCATAGCAGCATGGCCGTCAGATCTTACGAGTTGCAGGTCCTCAAGACCCTGGATTTCCGATTTCCGCAATGCCTGCCGATTCACGCGATCGAGCTGTTCCTCGTGCACGAAGAGCTGGACTCGAAGCCGGGTATGCGCGAGACGTGCCTTCAGCTACTCGACGTCTCGTACATGAGCCACGACGAAATGTTTGAGCAGCTCTTTCTCCTGGCCCAAAGTAAGAAGTACGACAAGAGCGAGCACAAGGCCAGGATCTACTTGCGCCTCGAGGCTAATATGGCTTTCATCGCGGCCTCGGTCGTCGTCTGCGCCTGTTTCTTTCACACATTGAAGCCCAAGTTTGACACAGTGGCCTCCAAGCTCGCCAAGCTCATCGATGTTGACCCCGTTGACGTCTTCATCATGGCCAACATCTTGCAAAACCTCGTAATCGAGGAGGAAGACTACCGACCTTCGAGCAGCGGCCGCTTGTCTAGAAAAATAGACGAGGCTGAGTCGTCGCGCTGACACCGAAAACTGTGTGCAGCGATTGTTATGTTTTTGAGCGGATGATGGTATACAGTGGCGTTGTTTTTTTCGGTTTGTTACATCTTGTGGTTGCTGTCACCTTATCCTTACTGTTGTTGTGTATGTTCGAGCTTTGAACAGCAGTACAAAATACGAGTGTATCTCGTAAATGTTTTTTTTTCTTTCGTCTTTACGGAAACAACGTCGCTGTATTTCCGTGAACTCTGCCATTTGTACATAAGTATCTTACCGATTGCCTCTTGTGCTGAGAGAGCTGTCAATAATTCAATTAATTCGTTTAAACGTTCCCTGTCGCATTTAGTTGTAAATATTATTATGTAACGTTATCGTCTCCTCATCGAGCAAAATAATTTAATGAAACGAGCTTTTTAATTTATAATTCATATTCTTAATTAATCCATTATTTATAACAAGATGTTTATATTCTTAAAATAGTGCCAAATTTTTTTTAATGTTATAAACGTTGAAAATTTGTTACAAGTAGTTTTTAATTGCGCTCTTGTTGAATATTTAATTTGCGTGTCAAAGATGTCGTTGAGTATTGTTAAATGATGAAAACGGTATACATGAAGAAAAGTAAAGCCTGCAACCATGGAGTGGCAGCGATCGACGAAAGTTTATAGCATATGTATATACTTATGCAGCAAAAAGGAGCACTCGGGTTGCGCTTGACTTTCATTCGCTCTCGCACTCGAATATTGAGAGTTAACGTAAAATTTAATGAGGGAGAAAATGACGAATACTTATTCCGCGTGTACAAAACGGAACAAAAACCCAGAACCCACTTTCTCGACTGTAAAGTCGGTTACTTGCTCGCGAGACCAATGGCACCATTTACAGTGTTCCAGCTGGCTTGTCCCGGTGAAATTTTTTAGGACGTAAAGTTAAGCGTCGACCGATACGTGCGATTGGCGCTTATACCCTGTTAGAGTGCAGTGTTTGATTCACGAGTGTTGTTACCGATAGCGTTGGCAAAGTTGAATATTATTAAAATGCGCGGTGTAAAAGTATTTTTACCACGTCCATACCATACGTGTATGTGTACCACAGACTGCGTGCCTTTGAAGATAAAGTCTGAATCATCATAAGATAAGCTCATAGAGACGCCCCTATAGTATAATATATGGTATGTATATAACATATACATTAGAGCTGTGGGATTTCCGTACACAAAAAATTCTTTGTATTCCATGAGAGTCCATAAGTACCGTTATTGCTGCTTATACCAAAAATATTCGGCATCAAATTTTTTTTTTTTTTTGTAAAAAAAATAGATATTTTGAAATAAATAGCGGATTTTAAAAAAACCAGCATTTGTTTGTTGATTTATTATGTCATGTACCTAGAATTGTGTGGATATGAAAAATCGGTAACGTAAAAATAATTCACGGGATAATCATGCCCACAGTGTGAAATCACAATAGGGAAAAAAAGAAATAAAGAAACACATTACGTGCTCTGAGCACACGCACATTATTGTTTGAGCGCCGTAGGTACGTTCAAAACGGGACAACGAGTTAGGAATTTTTTCTCAAGATCTGCGCACAAACCACAAGTATATAATGTATCGGTTATTCAAGGCATGAAAAGAATAAATAAGTCGAAGGGAGAAAAGGTACGAGACACTGAAGGCACGAGCTGCGCGGTCGCGTGTGTTGTAAAAATCGCTCTACCAATACAAAATCGGTAAGCAAATACTCATACAATCTGTTGTATACACATCAGGCATTGGAGAGGGAGATGGAAGTAAAAATGAGAGAAAGCGAAAGTTTACATTCAATTCCGTGTCCGTCACGGATGAAATGCACCTATACACTTTTATGCATCGAAAGTTTTTTAAATTTCGTTGAACCCATATGATGCATATTTTCATACTCGTGAGTTAAATTCCACGATTTTAGGGATTAATTGAATCGTTTTATTGGCACCAACTCACTATTTACAACGTACGTAATATTATGTGCATACTTTTATTTTATAATGAGCTAAATAAATTTTCATGAAGGCTTTTTTTATCTTAATTTTCACGTAGTATACGTGAAATTATATCTGATTGCATGTGCACACATATATTGGGACAACGGTACTACCGATACAACGGTAAAGGTTGAAAAAAAAAAAAAAAGTGCCGAAATAATATAAACGGAGCAAAAAAACAGCAGATCAGAGAGATGCGTGTGAAATAAGCACAAAACAAGGAAGGAAGATAAAAACGGGTTGGCAAGGACGAAGCAGCGCTTTTACCTTTAAATGCCCTGAGCGCGAGTATAATTAAGTATATATATATATACCTATAGGCAGCTATACATTCTCACAACAATAACAAAAGCGCTGCGTGTGCTCCGAAAAATGTGGGGAAAAGAAAAGGGACAGAACACGTATATGTATAATATCTCTATACAGAACGTGCAGCAAGAGGGGAAAAAAAAAAAATACTTAATAAAGGCAAAAAGAAAAAAAGACGAGGAGGGAGAGCGCGCGTGGAACGTGGAGTACCTCGAGGGAGAGAGAGGAAGTCACTCCCTCCACTTTTTTTTTTTTTTTTTTTAAAAAAAGACGAGGAGGGAGAGCGCGCGTGGAACGTGGAGTACCTCGAGGGAGAGAGAGGAAGTCACTCCCTCCACTTTTTTTTTTTTTTTTTTTACATACATCAGATCCAGCCAGCGAGCCAGCCCCTCCGTTCACCTACATGGGCAAATACATTTATACATGCACAATGCACAACACACTCGCAACTTTGGCATTCCAAGATGGAGCTCTGCTGCTGGCGAACACACAACAGCCGTATATGCCCAACAGAGACAATTAGATAAACAGTAGTAGTGTGCGCGCTGCCGACGAGGAGCGAAGGCCTATCTCAGCTGCTCCGTTTTGCTTTGCTGAATCCTCGACTCTTTATCATCTTAATAAGTACTCGAGTACTTATAAATTTTTTTCGCGTCTCGCCGAAGATGTAGAACAGAGTACAAACTGTATTTTTCCCAAAGTACTAAAGAATTTACTTAATCGCGCGTCCTTTAAATCCATAAAAGCCGAAGGACATTGCCACAAGCCGTATAGCCTATATGCACCAACTGCTGCGGTACGGGAGGAGCTGTTATAGTGTCCTTGTGTGTGTGATATAGTTGTTGGATAGTTTTATTATTTTCGCATACTTACGTCAACTGCAAAAAAAAAAAAAAATAAATAAAAAAAGGTGTTTGCAAGCAGAGTGCCGTCATGGCCAAATCCGTGCTGGGCTCGGACACCATGCCCAAGGCTGGACGAGTGAACGAAGGTGCGAAATCTATTCACAAATATATAACTTTTTATAAACTACTAATTTATACATAAACGCGCGCGCGAGTGCCGTGCATTCCTTTTTTAGTTTTTTTTTACGTACTTACTTGTAGTTTGAATGAACTTTATTACTTTTTTATCGCACTCCTTTGATGCCTATTTACATTTATACATCACCGCAGTTTTGTTATAAATGTAAGTAGAGCTTCGCCGCTGCTGTAACAAAATGAATAGTATATATACGCCGCGGCGTCAAAAATCTCTCACGGCCGTGTGAATTTAAAGTCCTGGCGTGTACGCTCTTCTGTATACTTACCTTACATCCGCTTGTTTTAATTTCATGGCACAGCTAAGTACCATAGGTACCTACGCGATATAGGAGAACGCATTAAAAGCCCTCGGGGATTTTAATCAGAGAACACAAATTTTGTTTATCTATGAAGCAGCTATTGAAATACGTTCTATAATACACTATACCGCCGTGCTATGCGCGCCTGAGGCAAGAATTCGTGCGTATGTGTATATACTTGTATAGCATGCACGTTCTTTGTTTGGGGGCGCGTAGCGAGGACGGAAGATAAAAAAAACGCGAGTGTGCATGCAAGAGAGAGAGAGCGAATGTAAAAAGAATAAAAAAGTTAGTACCTATGTGTCTGGATATCTGGCCATTCTGTAGTACGTTACTACGTAGTAGTGTATATGGCATTCGAGCAAGTGTAGGGCTTCTTTCTTTCCGATTTAAGTAACTCTCGCTCGTATATCCCTACGTCGTTTTTTATAATTTTTTTTTTTTTTTTTATTACCTTCATTTTACCAAAGGGCACAGCGCAATTGAACACTGTGTAGTGGCTTTACCTAATTTTTGCTTGTCACTCCAAAAAATTGTCACCATTGTTCTCTTGCGTTCCAAATTTTTTTGCGCCAGGATTGAGACCTTTCTAATTTTTAATTCCTATTTTATGAACAGTCCATTTAAAAAGTAAAGCAATAATTTGTAGTTTTTTTTTGTCACGTACAATAGTACTAAAAATCTTCGAAAAAATTACTTAAAGAAAATGATTTTTTCGAATAACTATTGTATATTATTTATTTATTGATTCGTTGCGATAATTATGAGTCTGATGCCCCTAAGTCATGATTCATCGTTTTATTTGCAGTATGCAGGGAGTGGTTAGTGCACGAAGACGGTGCATTGGCCTATCGCCTTCAAGATGAAGAGAGTAAGGAAAAGCCAAACTTGTTTTTCTTTCTATTTTTTTTTTTTTAATCTTACAACCAGAATATAATAATTTTTTTACTTTTAACACAACATTCTTTCAGTTAAAGATCACTATACACACAACAAAGTTAGGAATGCACAAGTGAGAGAAGACCTTCCAAAGGCCAAGGTTGAACAAGAATTGGAGATGTTGAGATATCAGTCTTACGTACAGGAACAGTCAGTGTTTTTATAATTATTACTTGAACAACTTGCTCATCTTCACGAACAATGAATAAGTAAAATTAATTTTTGTCAACAACAGAGAGGAAAGAGACGAACTGGTAGCCAGGCAAATCGCGCTGGCTCTTGAAAGAGAGGAGCGAAAGAAAGAAAGAGAATTACAAGAACAAATGAGACTGCAACTTCGGCTTGACGATGAGGCAGCAAGAGTTGAAGCTGAGAGAGAAATACAGAGACTTATACAAGAGGAAAAAGATCAGGTATTGTAAATCAAGAAATTAATTGTTTTAATTTTTTTTTTTTTCAAAAAGAAACATGGTTTTGGAAAACAGAAATTTAAATGGTATTTACAGGAGCTCGCAAGGAAGCTCCAAGAAGAAGAAGCATTGACGACTGCTGACGTACCAGACGGAGCGGTGATGAATGAGCAGCTCATGTTGGACCACAAATTTGCCATGGAAGCGCAAGACGCTGAACTGGCTCGTATGTTACAGGACAAAGAACGAGCTAAAGCAAAAAGAGCGCGAGAGAGAGCCAAGTTGAAGAAATTGGAACGTCAACAGCAACTCGAGGGAGAGCAATCGTCGGTAAACGGAAGCCTCGAGAGGCCGCAGAGACCGGATAAATTGGACTTAAAACCGAGCATTCGTAAGTTTATATGTCTTTTGCCTTGGAATCACAAAAAACATTGAATCAAAATTTTAGCAAAAACACGGACAGCTACAATTCTTACACGACACACCCGACAACTATCAGATCCCGAGGAAATTCGCAGCCTTCCAGAAGTTGTCACTGAAGAATCACAGTCGCAACGAAATGTTGCTGCAATGATCGACCCAACGTTCAACGGCACATACGCAAGTTCCTCAAAAAGCGCTGCTTCCAGTGGTCTAAGTCCAATGTATGCTTTACCAACAGATCCGGACGAAGACTCTGCTTGTTACATGCCTGTACCTGGAACGCGACGTAGTAACAATCACATTTCCCCTCAGCGACACTCGCCCTCGCAGATTCAAGAAGAAAAACACAAGCGTCGTGTTAAAGACAGCTGTAGGCAGCAGTGAGAAGAAATTTATGAGCGTTTTGGAGAGAATATGAGAGTGGTGTCAAATTAAGCACGCGTTGGTGGGAATATTTTTTAAATATTTGAACTTGAAAATAAGTGCATTGCATAATACCTCAAATTTGGGCTCTGTATTGGATGCCAAAACTATAGATTCACAATATATCACATTTTTGTGGTTAAAGTGCCCTTGAGAAACGAATCTAAATATTTATTTGAATTTACAACCTATTGTTATCAAATAACAAATAATTTGTGGTTATCTTTAAAAAATATTAAGCAATTTTTCGGCGCTACGCTGATTTGAAAGCTTAACGAAATATCCACGTTAATTAATATCAAAATTGTATGCTATGCGTCGTTCGAGCATATTTACGTTTGTAATAAATGTTTACACTTTGATAAAAATTTGTACTAAAATTTAGTACTCTAAAGCATAGAAATATTTCCACCACAATTATTCGATATAACCAAGGGGCCTTTTTTCAATTTAAAAATCATCGCTGGTGAAAATGTGCCTTTATCATAAATGACATAATCAAAATATACGCATGTGCCTCACGCAATAAATTCTTGTTAGCAAGAACTGATGTACACTCAACAACGATATTAGTTTCTCACACAAAACTTTACTGTTACTGTACATACACATAATGGCATATATCATTGCTTTTAATTAATTTTTAAACTGTACATTTTTTACAAATCTTTGTATTGCTTACTTTTGGTAACTGATTCATTTTATTACATGAACTAATTGTTACCAACGATCTGAAATGTTGATGTTTTTTTACCAAATTTCACTTATGGTAAAATAAGCGTTGTATAAGTTGGCGGTCGAAGAAAAAAGTAAAGTATTAATATTATTATCAGTATCTTTGTTACATTGCAAAAAAAAAAATATTGACAAATAATGAATTGATGATGTATATTACATTCCGTGATCTTCACGAGTTTTTTTGACTTGATATGATCTATTATATAAAAGGGATTTAGGAGACTTGCTTAGAAATTACTAGACTCATATCTTGATGAAACTAACACGATGTATTAATAAATTATTTACAAAAGTATCTTACATATTGTTTTTTTGTTTGAAAAAAGAAAAACAAAAAACAACAAAATTTTAACAGACTTAATAAAAAAACATGATTTTTACATCATTTTCCTTTGTTTTTCGCCATTTTAGGCATTACAAAACAGGTTCGCGGTTGTCGTTGAGTTTTTGCCAAAGGTTTTTTTACATTGCCAGTCTCACCTTGCTCCAGGACGTTCGTTGCCTCATCATCGTATTCCTCATCAAAGCGAATTGGCGTGAGAAATCTGTAAGATGCGTACCGATTTCACAGGTCGAAAATTTTTTTATACCGTGATTAGACGTATTCAGAGAACCTTGCTTCTCATCTGATTAAGGAACTTACTTCTGTAATCCGGCCGGATGTGAAAATTCGAAAGTTGGCGTTTGATTACCACCTGAAAAAGAAGTTTTGCTCATTATCTAAAAATTATATTCCAATATGACCTAAAAATTCAATTAAACATGCTTTTTTCGATTACCAACCTTCAGAGGTACCTGGAACATCTTCACCTTTCTCTGGAGACGAAAATTTATAATCATTACTTTCAACATGCTCGAGTTTATCAAGTACTTCGACTTTTTTAGCTTCATTACTACTGACAGACGTAGCACGTCTTCTTTTTCTCGGCTGTTTCACTGGCGTCAACTCTTCAGGTATGACTTCGTTAATGGTCGCTTTGGTACGTGAACTGCGTGTTACACGCCTACCTGCGGGCACACTCACCACTGAATCGACGCTCGTCGCTCTACGACCTCGACCTATCGTATCCCTTTTTGCCGCTATACCTGTTGACTTTATGGTGTCCGGCACATTCAGGATTTCTTCGAGGTCTCCGGGTACAGATTGGATGGAGGAACGACGACTACGAGTTTTGGGTATCGAACTGGAAGGTTTCGTAGTCTGCGGTGCTCGTATATTCTCTGTCCTGACTGGTGATTCTGTGAAAGATCCACTTTCTTCCGGAATTACTTCTTTCATAAGACTCACCGAGGATCGAACTCCTTGTTGCTTGGTTACTTCTGAAAATAAAAATAATACATTTTTCGATAAATTTCCAAACAAATTTTTTATTTTTTATTTATTTTTTTTTTTTTTTTCATCAATTTTGTGATAAAATCAACTTACTAAGTGTGCAAGGAATCTCTTTTGGTAACGAGCTGCCACGCTTTTTACTTGTCTGCTTTTTTCTAACTTCTTGTTCCTCCAAAGGATTATCTTTGGCTATGGATGACGCCCTAGTTGATCTTCTTTCTACGGTACTCACATCGGTGACATCTTTGCTCGTTTCCTTTGACAGTGATGAAGCTCGCGTTTTCCTCGTACTCGGTTTTTCATCTTCTTTCGCTGTGGATGTAGTCTGGTCATTTTCCTTGGCTACTGATCCTGCTCTTTTTTTTCTAGTGATAGTGGGTTGCTGTTCGTCATTAGATATGGACCCTGCTCTCGTTGATCTTATTTTCGTCAATTCTTTTTCATCTTTACCTACAGATTTTGTTATTCTACTTCTAGTGTGAGCCGATGGCAAATCATTGTTTGCAAGTACTGATGTGGCTCTCGTCTTTTTACTACTAGATGTGACTTGTTCATCATCCTTGGATACCGATCCGGCCTTTGTGCGTTTGTCAGCAATTATCGAAGTATTTTTTTGAGTCGTAGATACTCTCGACGACCGTATCGTAGATAATTGTTGATCAGCCATTTCATCAGTTTCCGAACCAACATTTTCCTTGGTAATGGATGCAGCTCTCGTTTTTCTAGTAGACTTTGCTGTAGGTGCCACGTCTTTGGAAGATGATCCAGCTCTCGTCGTGCGTGTTGTTGACTTTTGAGGGGTCAACTTTGATGACTCTGGCGATTTTACGACTTTTTTTGGTCGGCCTCGAGTCGGCTTTGTAGAAGCTGATTTGCCAGACTGCTCCTCGTTATCATCGCCTGTCGACTCAAAAAGCGGGTTGTTTGGTAAAGTCAAAATATTACAATCTTCTCTAAGTTCATTTAGTAATGAACTTGTGGATACGGATCTGATTGAACGTCGGGGAGAGACTTTTTTCTTTGGTTCCAAAATCACTTGATTTTTTCTACTTAAATTAGATTCGGGCGATAATTTCTGTTCTTCAGATATGAATGAATTTTTTAATTGATTTTCATGTTTTTTTTCAACGTTTTGGAGCTGCCCGGATTTTTCTTTCACTGTTTTAGATGGAAGATTTTTGACTTTTCTTTGTCCATCACCAGAACTATCAGAATTTGAAAAACTGAGAACAAAATCATTTTCTTCATCTTTTTGTACTACTTCGGTTACTCGCGTCAATTTTATAGATATATGTGGAACGTTCTCTTCTCCGTCTATTGACTCGTCGTCAGTAATATCGTATTTTTCGTCTTGGAAACCAACGATACCCTGACTATTAATGAAAATTGGTTTCGTTAGACTATAACCGATACTGTCATCCCTTTCATCTGGAATCAAGTTTTCAGTTAAGCGATTTTCATCAAACGAACGATCTGTTTCATATTCTTCGTTTTGGATCATCCCTGAAGTATCTCTAAGCTGCGTGCCATTGTCTTCCTTTTCAGCTTTCTCAACAAAAGAGTTTGAAATACTTTGAAATGATTCATCGTCGAGATCCTCTTCACTATTTTCCATCCTTTCTTCTAAATTTTCTAGCTGCTGGTGGTCTTTGCTTGTATTAGCTTTGCGGAATGTATTTGTAGAAACCAGTCTTTCGCAGTCCTCTTCCTCATCAACCTCCATCTCATAGTGTTCTTGATATTTCTTTTCTTCTTTTTCTTGATCTCTATCCAACAAACATTCTTTATCAAATTCACTTTCTGTGACTTTCGTAACAACTTGTGTATCTTCTTCAGGCTGTTCCACTGATTCTTCACTTTCATTTTCATCAGGTTCAACACTGTGCAACGTAGATAGTACTTTCGATTGCGAAGTTTCCACGCTCGTATCAGAAGAGTTGTTACTGTCACTTCTTCGTAAACTTGGTCTCGGCCGAGGTCCACCGAGGTAAACCATACTCGTCTCTGATAAAATTGTCTTATCTCTAAATGACTTTTCAGTTAAGTTAGGACTATGGTAACTTTCTTCAGGACTGAAAATTTTTTATACACTCCGTTACAATAAATGTATTTCATATTCACATTTGTTCAGTTGTTATTAACTTACCGGGATTCTTCCCCAGTGTTTTTACTACTACCAGTGGTATCCTCTTCATTATGCGTTTCATAAGCAGATAAACTCGTATTGTCATTTCCACTCAGCCTGTCTACGCTGAAATGGATTTGCCGCAAAGACTTAAAATTATTCGGCATCAAATGTGTTCTTGACATATCCTCTTCACCGATCACATCACCCTTTAATTAGTTATTTAGTTCATTTGTTTATTTATTTCATAAATAGATATATACGAGCTTAGCAGCCCTTTTACCATTTTGAAAACCTAAATATTTTTCTCACCTGAGCGAAATTATAACTGGGTGAACGCGACTTACGACGAATTTTTAGAATTGAATGAGGCGTTTCAGGATACAAGTTGTTCATTTTACCGGTCTCTTTCCGCCGCACTAGCGGTGTACTGCACACCTGACTCATACTAAGCCTACGAAGATTTAATGGATCACTGCTGTTAACTGATTCCAATTGATCCGAATCTAAAATTGAAAAAAAAAAAAAAAAAAAAATTGAACGAATCGATTAAAATTGTAATAAAACGAGGTTAAGTATGTATATTTATATTTTTAGTTAAAGTATAGAAACCATTTAATTTTGGAGCTCTTGATTCATCATTGAGCTTTCGTCTCTTCTTGTCAATTTCATCGTTGACGCTTTCTACAGACCCAATCATCGTTCTCAGAGTCCTCTTGCCCGTGAATACCTTCCGTTTCGGATACGTAACACAAGTGGCATCACCCTCACCGTTTATCTGACTAGCGAACTTGGGTCCAAAATTAATTGTTGCGCAAGGTGGTGTAAGGAAAGGTATGTAATTCGACGTACCGAGCCCACCTCGGTCAGGCCGAAGACACGTCTCACGAGTCTTTCGAACAGCCAGGTCGTAAATATCACCAGTTTCGTCTCGAGACTGCGACATCGGCTTGGGATAGAAGCCGCGTCGCTCGTTGTTGCTGGTCATCATAGAATATGGCACGAATTGTCGTCCGTTGGCCGAAGTGGTGGTATTTTTGCTCAAGCTATTTGCAAAGAGTTTTGTGATTTCGGGCAAGGTTTTGTTAAATGCTTTCAGTAAATTCAGAGCGTTCGACTGAATGTTCATCTCCCCAGCCATTGATTGATATAGGTGAAAGTTTGAGTTTATGGAAAAAATATTGTTGGCTTCTGTGTATCGGCCCCTCAGCAAGTAGTGGATCAATCTGATTTCTTCGTTACCATTTTCTTGGAGATATTTATCGAAAGCTTTTTCCTCTTCCGGATCTAAGGTAAGCCGTAAAATGTCCTTGAGTTTTCCATGTGTTTTACATGCGTGGAAGAAACGTGTGAGTAACTGGCCATAGTGCGAGGGCGGTCGTGCATGGAATGCCAACTCTACAAGACCCTGTTCTACCGCAAGATCGATTATTATGCCCTGGTCGTCGGCGGACGACAGCGGTGGTTTAATTATGAGCAGGTAATTTAGAGCTGGTAAAAAAGAAATGACGAAAAAAAAAATAATTAATCGACAGCTTGCAAATGTATGTTGTTACATACTTCAAAAATTTGAATACGTACCTAATTTGTGCTGATCGTTTTTTAACAGTGAATTTAAAGCGAGTTTATGCTGCCAGTCTTTGATGTCATTACTGGAAACAATTTGACTTGTCATGATGTTAAAAAAGCAGTCGTAATCTTCGTGATCGAGAAGCCAAAAAGCCTGGGTGAGTTTAATAAGACTAGGACTCAACTTGAAAGCTGCAGGATACTCGATAAGTCGATCGACTGCTGGATTTGTGCCTTTCAGAATCATGCAAAGATCCATAAGCAAGTAGATGACGATACAGTGTTTAGTGAACGTCTCGGGTAATTGACTATCTTCCTCCTCCTCCTCTTCATCACTTTTTTCTTCGCAATAACAGTCGGTTAAAAAACTTCTCAGCAAAGACTGGATCGATGGAGGAGGATAAAGACCTCCTTGATTTGGACAATCACTGTCAGTCTCCTGTTTCCATTGTACTTTGAGCGGTAGACAATTCCTCGCAATCATTTGATCAATAAACAAAATATCATCTTCTTTATTTTCCTCGTTGCAATCATTTCGTCTTTTCCTCTTGTAAGATTCTATCAGTTTGTTTCTTGGGTACGGAATTTTTGCAAACGCTGAAATTTGCATGTCGTCGTCTTCGTCGACATCTTGAATTTCCGGCAACAAACCAACATCATAAAACCACAAGACAACTTGAAGATACGTTGCTATTCTTTTAAGGGCCCTCCTGTGTTTAGCCAAATCGACTTGAGCATTGGGCAACTTGGATACTACGATGACCAGACACTCGAGTTGCTGAACACAGTACCTTAAAGTTCTGACCTCAGACTCGCCAATATTGGTACCCGACTGATCAAATAATGGCACGCACAAACGATCGGTCATTAGTTTGATTTCAGATGCACGTTTCACGCTCCACCGCAGGAATTCTGAGTATAGGTAAGCTGCACTGCCATCCGACCACTCGATAGCACAGCGCAGTAAGAAATTGGCCCACCGTTGCTCTAGGCATAACGACAGCAGCATTTCTCGCGCTACTGATTGCTCTACTTCTAAACTGTAGTCTTGAGGGGCCGAGTCGAACGGCACCAGGCCAGCACAAAGACACCTTCGGTAAGTCTCAGTGGGCATGACCAATACAATAGGGCCAGCCATGGTGATCTCCCGGAGAAGCTCTGACTGCACACCTCGGGTAAGCCAGAAAACTAAATTTTTCTCTGTTAAATCCACCCACTCGAATTTCAGTGAATTTGGAAAAAATAACTCCTCTGGCGAGTGTGGACTCTTGTTAGGAAATTCTCTCAAAGTTCTAGGCTTGTATAAGCAAGAAATTATCTCTTCTCGTGGAACTTCATCTTGTCGCGTTTTGTAGCACGCCAAAATGCTATTAGGATTGCGACACCCAGACATTGTACACGGCATCTGTTCCTTGTACCATCGATTCAAATCAAATAACAATACTCGCTCTTCGGTACCGATTAACAATAGGCTGTCCTCACCTCGGCGTGAACCAACATCAGACGCGTCGCGTGGATTACCTCGCTCGATGGCCACCAGACTGTGTACGCGTTCATTTTGTTCTAGTTCAAGCTCAAATTTTAAACTTGGATCGGACTCCAAGTTGAAATATAAACTCGAGTTTTCACCCGACTTGTCATTGATCTTGTTTTTAAACATCAACATGTACATGCGCAGCACTGCCACGGAATCTGGTGCATCACCCTGAAAATACATATTTTAGAATTGATTTACAATTATCGAGTTTCATAAATAAAGGAAAAAAAAGTTGTTTACCTGACAAACGATCCACAGATAATAAAAAGGTTTAGGATCATCTGAAGGTTCGAGAAGAGCAGCTTGAGTTACATATGCATTCTCGTCAAAGGTCGGACTTATCCAGGCAATGGAACCGTCAAAATGCCAGATTATGACTCGACCTAAGCAGCCAGTTACAAGACAACCAATCTTAGTGGAACTAAGTAAAACTGTACAGAGACTTTCATCATAAAGTGGAGTAGCCTCAAAGTCTTGTCTGTCGAAACCTATGTACTGTTCAATTTCTAAAAATCACAACATTCAATTTAGCAAATAATGAATACAGTTGTTTATGAGTAAAAAAATTACAAATTTACCTTTACTTAACAAATCATGGGCCAAATATGTCAATTCTACTTTATTACTTTTTGAGTGTAGCACTGCAGATGAAGAAATTGTATTAACGAATTCTAGGCAGGCTGTAATGGGCTTTTCACCATAACATGATTTTGACCACAAATCTCTATTGATATCTATCATAATGTGCTGTAAATTTCTGAGAGCAACAAAGATCAATCCACTATTGTCTGGTAAAGCTGTGTCTGGTCTTTTTTCATTGAAATCTTCCCAGTCAGCCCCTCCATGGATCACACATGCTTTTTCAACACCAGCTGGTACCTTTAAAATCAATTGATAATCCATTAGAGTTGAGACCACTTACCATGGAAAAAAACTAAAAATATGTGCATTGCACTGAAAAAACAATAAATGCTCACTTGAATGGTAGTTAAAATTTTACATGTGCAACAATCAAAAATACACAGTTGTCCAACAGAATCTTTAATTCTTATAGCATCATTGTCAAGCCCAACAAGAAGCAGTGGCACACACCCTTGTTGAGCAGGAAAGGCTGAGACAGTGGTGATCTTATCGGAAAAAGTCCACGTTGATACGTATTCACCAGACGAGACATCCACTACAATTAGACTTTTGTTGCAGCTCATCCAGGCATAGTTGCAGTCACTGTTCAAGAAGCCACCCAACGTGTGTTGGAAGCTTGGGTCATTTGAGGCATCGTTTTGTCCTGTGCCGTCCTGAACTTGAAAATCCGATGACTTCCACAGCGGCAGCTCGAAGCTTATAGTTTTGCGAACCTAAAAGAAAAGCCAAGTGAGAGTAAGGAAACTGAGGAAACTATCAACTATTTTGGTCGCAGGCTTAAAAAACGATTTTTTGGAAAATGCTCTGACATTTAAAGGAAAACCGACTTACCTCGCAGTTAGTTTCTGTGAGTTGACTCATTTTTGTACCAGAAAAAACCTGAAAGCTGCACTTGAAGTTCCTTCACACTCTAATGTTGATGTAACAATAACCACAGCAATCGTACAATAAGATAAGACGTGTTTTCATATTTTACGTACATATATCAAAAACAAGTTTTGAGGTTACGGACGTTGCTTCCCGCGAAAGCGGGAACTACATCACAACATGTAATTGCGCGACGACAATACATTTACACAGGCGTTTCCCGAATTTTATAAATAATTAGTACGGATTAGTAGAAAAAAAACTGATTTTCTAATTGATACAAAAGCTACGCATTATTCACTGCCACGTGTGACTTGTATTTTGTGATATTTTATGCTATGCAGCTGCGGTGCGGAGCGCGGAAAATACGGATTGCTGATTTTTGGGGGATTTTCATTTGACCTAACCCAGCCTAACCTAACACTGACAGGTTCAAATAAAATTTCTTCGTCTTTCGGCCTTGGTTGGATTTTTGATTTTTGCCCTTATAAGTAGGTGTTAGGTGTGCATTATGCAAATATGCACTATGGAGTACGAAAAAAAATGTCTTCAAGTATTTGTTGTTGACTGATACCTGCAGTTAGCTACAGTGGAATTAGTGGAAAACTGGAAAGCCTTTGAAAAATGAGGTTGACTTGGACGAAAGATTGGAAAAAAAACGTGAGTCAATAGTCAGTACTTGGTGTATGTACATACCTACTTTTATTTGTTCGTGCCCTTTGAAAAATATGTCATTGTTTAACACGTTTAACGGTTAATACAATCGGAAGACTTAAAAACCTCAAGGATATTTTGGAACAACGCATTAACGACTTAAATATTTTTTTATTACTGTGTGAAAAATAGATGCGCAGTTACGCGGATGAATAACCGTCTATTAAGTGCAATCAAGGTAAAATCGACTGGATTAAAATAATTTTACTTCTAAAACTTGTTAGATCATGCGCAATGCATATATATTTTATGGATACATGTGTACAAGTCTAATTTGACCATACTATTACCACATATTGCGTTGCTTGTTGTTTTATACAAGAAAAATTTTGACATTTATATAAGTAGGCGTGTTTAATTAAGATTCCAAGTGCACGCGTATTAATTATTAATACATGAATTGCAGCTTATGGAGAATTTATCAGAAATACAGTACCCATATTTTTTTACCCACAGTACTTTAGTTTTCTAGAATATCTCGCAGCGCACGTGTGTGCACAGTAAGTGCTGTTTACCTAGTAAGGTAGTAAGGTGTCTAACGTTTTTTGTTTCTGTCATGATTTCTTGTGCATTTTTTTTCTTTTTTTTTTTCTGGAAATCATTCATCATCACATATTATATTTTACCCCCATCAGCAGTCAGCTGCAGCTCTGGCGTTTTGGTCACTTCTTCACGCACGAGAGACTAATACTTTCAACGTTTAATCCAAAAGTCGTGCGTAAAATTGTTTACTCCAAGCAACTCATCTACATCATGGAGATGAAAAGAAATCACTTTGAAGAGCTTGAGGAGACGATGGTATTGAGTCAGACTCAGGATACGGGATATGCGTTGGAACTTGAAGTTACAGTAGCAGAGTCCGAGTCGCAGTCGTTTTCAAACTCCGAAGCGCGAATTGAAGTGAGCATGGTTGCGGAGGAGGAGAAAGAGAGGAAAGAAGAAGAAGAAGGAGAAGAAGTGAAAACAACAACAACAACGGCGCACTCCGATGTGAATGGGTCAAAAGACAGTAAGGAGCCGGAAAAAGACGAGAGGATGGACAAAGTGGAGGGAAAAGTCGAGAAAGCATCGACGACTGTTCAAGAAGAGACAAGGAAACGCGGCGCCGAGGAGGATGTCGAGCCTGTGCTTGAGAGAATACCCTCGGGCGAGCCGAGTTGCGGCTCCGATCTCATTCGTATCAACAAGGACCAAGTACGTAAGCGAGTCTTTATGTTTTTGATTGATTATTGATTGCATGTTGGAATACAGTACTGGCACTTTTCTGTTTCAAGTTTAAAATTGGCCGAAGAACAGACAACGATGAGGTGATTGTCAGTGTTCTTATATCGAGAAACCACTGTATTTTGCAACGAAATAAGGATACTGGAGACTGGTCAGTGACCAACTTGAGTTCGACAGATACTTTGCTTAATGGAAGGCACATTGAAAGAAATAAAACCGAGCCAATCAAGCATGGGGATACCTTGCAATTGAGTTTGGCAGAAGTTTTCAAGTATAAGTTTTTGTTGGTCAATAAAGAGTTAGAAGCTGCCAAGTGTCCAAGACTGGAAGACAGTGGTAACGATTTAGGAGGTGTATTAGATAGGCAAAGATCTTTTGTTGAGTTACAGAAAAGTGAAAGAAAAGATCTGGAAAAACAGCTCACCGACAAACAGCAAGAACAAGAGCAGTTAAAACAAGAGTTGAATAAATTATTAGATGACCAAAAAGTCACGAAAGAATGCAACGAAGAACTCAACAACCAGATAATCGAGTTGCAAAAAAAAATCGAAGTTGGTAATGCAACGGAAATGGGATTACAGCAAAAGTATCGGGAACTTTTGGGAAAGTTGGAAGAAGAGAGACTCAAGTTTGAGGAAAAATTGGCTGCCGAGAAGGTAAGGTGGCAAGAGGCACTGAAAGAATCCAAGCAAGAGAAAGAAAAATTGGAATTGACTCATGCCAATCAAATGGAAGAAATGAAAGAACAGTTGGTTAAGAAGCAACAAGAAGAGTGGCAAAAAAAAGTTGACAATTTGTTGCAAGAGGAAAAGAATGTTCAAACGAAATTACAAAGTGAAAAACAGTTGTTGGAGCAAAGGCTCAAGGAAATGGAAGAAGATATAAAAAAGAAGGATCATGCTGCTAAAGTGCAACAACAAATGCAACAAAATTTACAACAAATACAGCAACAACGGCATGCTCACATACAAGTACAGTTTCAACAACAATTACGACAGCAGCATCAATTACCACAACCACAACAAAAAGGTAATTCTCATTTTGTATTTTTTTCAATCAATTTAAGTTTACTTTTGACTCATATCCATTTAATGGATGTAACAATTTTTTACTTTTTTCAGCAATCAACTTGGCACCCATTAATATGGGAAAATGTATTTTGGTAGAAGTAAAACGCGACAACACTCTAAGAAAATTACCAGTACTAGAAACAATCGATCTTACTAAAACACCTGATACTCCAGGCACAAGTTCAAATTTAAGAAAGAATAGCCAGGGTAAAGAAGTGATTGACAAAGTTAGCAATATAATGGACGAACAATTGACTTGTAGCATATGTACCGAACTCTTCATTCGAGCCGTGACTTTAAGTAACTGTATGCATACGTTTTGCCAGCATTGTATAGAAGTATGGAGCAAGAGAAGAAGAGAATGTCCCAATTGCAGGGCAGCTATAGTATCCATGACGCGATCACTTGTTGTGGATAATTTCATTGAGAAAATGATTGAAAGCTTAACGCCCGAGCAAATGCAAAAAAGGAAGCAGCTTATCGAAGAGAGGCAAAGTAATTGCTACATTTAACGTTAAAAACTTGTTTGCTATTATTATTATTAACATATTATTAAATCATATTGAACTTTTAGGGCTGCCTGCATCAAAAGAAATTCAAAGAAAAGTTGGTCGGAGAAGATAGAGTAGAAAATAATTTTACAAGATCTGTTGTACAAAAATAGCTTTTTAAGTTATTAACGCTTTTTTTCAAAATGAATAGAGTCAAATAGTGAGAGAAATTAAGAAATTTATTAAGTCTTTGTCTTTGTTAATACCTCTAGTTTATCATATCAAATTATTTCACAAATAATTTAAAGTTTTTCTTCACTTTTTCGCTGTTAATTAAATGTATGTATTGATGAGTTTATATTTTTCTATGTAATATAAAAAAAATAATTTTTTAAATGTTGTAGTTTTTTTTTTTTTTTACAAGAAGGAAGGAAAGGCGTTTAAAATTATTACATTTCGTACGTATATAATACATTTATTTTGCCAAATAATCACATTCCAGCTAGTAATACATTTTTTCGTTTAATAAACTAAAATGTATGAAGAACGCCAATTTGTTTACTCCAAATGTTTTTTACTAGTGACTGAATAACTAATTTACTTTTGGATAAACAGAATTTCTTATACTGTTTTTGAATATTTGAATAAATGGTATAGAAGTTTATATACACAGAAGGGTAGGCGATAAAAACAGTGCACGAGCTTATTGAGCTTCGACAGTGATACTAGTTTGTAGGCTGTGGTTGCTCTCGTTGTCCAAAAAGGCTTAATCATTCTTTTGTTATATAAAAACTTTGTGTATGCGCGTGTCCGCATAATAACTCCTATGTAAATCGATTTTGTAAGATGCGCTTTACGTGTTTATCCTTTGCAAATAATCACAAGCTTATGACTGATGAAATTTAAATTGAAAAATCATTTAATCATTACCAAGGTCACGGGGAGAAGCAACAAACAGCCAGTAAAAAGCTAGATCGCATTTTTTTTAAAAAAGGCTTTTTTTGTCGAAAAGCATTAAGTGTTCCTCGGGATTGTTTTTGAGATTTGTACAAAAAGAAAATAATGATTATTCAATATAACTTTGAATATTTTGAACCGCGTAACTTACAATATAATATAATTTAATAAATATTTACAGAAAAATGCAACTTAAATGGTAATAAATTATTCAACCAAGATATTTTCTTGTTGACCATATTAATTCTCGCGTTCTTAGTAATGCTCGCCCTTAATAGAGACACATTTCCGGAAACCATTAACACTAATTACTTTGTTTCGCCTTATTGGGTGATCATTAAACTTAAAAATAAATCAGCACAAATAATACAACCGCTTGAATAACGCAATACTATTTTGTCACTTTTTCACTGAAAATCGCAATTATTTTTTTTCTTTAATTTTAACTCGAAAAAATAAAACGCGCACGATAATGATCATATTAATTATAATAGTAACAATGTACGTATAAAAAAAATAACGTATTGTAGCGACAGCATATTTAACTGTCTGCAAAGCGTATTTAACAACAGCTTTTCAAAAAATCAAAAGCCTCCCTACACACACGAAGGTGTCAATGTCGTCCTCGTCGTCATCGTCGTCGTCGTCGTCAATGTAACACCTTAATACTTGAAGTATTTTTCGAATTTGGCCTTTGTGTTGGCCTTGGCGATTTGGATCCAGTTGTGCGTCTGTTTTGCTTGTGTTAGGAGTCAAGGAATGTCACCGCTGCTGACCGAAGACTCGTCGTCTTCGCTGCTGGAAGAGGTTGAGGTCTCTTCGGAGATCATTGCCTCGCCACCAGCCTCCTGGGGCCGCTGGCCGACCTCTTCCTCTTCTTCCTCATCGGTCGTCGATAACTCGACTGTCATAGTTTTGGAGTTGGTGCTAATCGTCGCGTTAGCACCATTGTTGCTGCTACTGCAGCCGCCGGTGCCAATGTTACAGCCACCATTACCACTGCTGCTGTTGCTGCTGCTGCTAGTCTCCGTGATGGTGTTTGACAGCGACTGCAACGTCCGAAACAAATCAAGAAATGCTAATTTTTTACGCCGAGACGTCGATTTTTCAATTACAGCTCTGTAAAGGAATGGAGTAGAAACAAAAGTTTTTTTAGAAAAAGTATCAATAAAACTGTGTGTGTGGGTGTGTTATGATTGTTTAACGATGCAAGCATTCAATGGGATGAATGAAAAATGTGAATCCACAGTTGAGACACAAGATTTTTCCACAGAGTCTCTAAACCTGCGCAGTTCAGGTAACTTGCTGTTTGACAATAATAAAAGCTTGAACGTGTGTAATAAAGTGCACCCAAAGTCGAGCTGATAAACAAATATACAATGAGAAGGCGAGCAGAGAATCGAAATGAATATTCACCCATGCGGTCTCGGCAGTAGGAACGTTTCTCCGGCGCTGCATTGGCGTTGAGCTATACGAAGGACTCCACGCTGTTTCGTCATTAGAGGCCACTGTCCTGACAGTCGTGACGGACGACGACGACAACTGGGAGGTGGAGGAGGCGGCGGTCGCGCTGGCCACCTCGGTCGTCGTGGACACGCTGTTGGAACGCGTCCTGCAAGTACTGGTCGCCAGGCTCTTTGCCGTCCGTCTTGGCATCGACAACCTGAGCGAATTTTGTCGCGGCGTCAGGCCACCATTGCTATCGCGGTAGCGCCGGGTCGCCGAGCTAGGACTCTTGGCGCAACTCTCGTTACTACTAGTGTCCATGCTCTCAGCGATGTCAAGTGTCCAGGAAACCGAGTCACCCTTCTCCACCAGGTACCTCACGGTGCTCGAGCACATCTGCTGTCGAAACGAGAAAAATTAAACCTTATGATTCACCATTTACCGGAAAGCCTTGCTGTTACGTTATGATAGACGCATGGGATTTGACGTAAGCTCACACCTCGGATTTCTGGGAGCAGTTAAAGTCGGCCGTCGAGCAGTGATCATTGTGATCGGGGCCCAGGGACTTGGAAAGCCTCTGCGACTGGGGGGTCAACTGGTTAGTCAGCACACTGACCACCTCGTTCTTCTGGCGTAGCCTCCAAGTGAGCTCCTCGTTCCTCTGCGAGAGCCGTTTATGCTGCTTGGACAGCTGGTGCAACGAGTTCATCAGCACCTGGGAAAAAATAATCGTCGTTGTAAATCAAAGGCCCGAGCGCGCGTGGCTACAAGCCCACGCGGAACGTGTAAAGCGGCACCTCGTTTTCATGGAGGGCGTGTCTCTCGAAGGACTCCTTGCTCTCCAGCTGGGCCTTGAGGTCCTCGCAGCGAGCCTCGAGGGCCTCGCACCTCTGCCTCAGCACCTCCTTCTCGTCGAGGTCGCGCCTCAACAGATCGACCTCGGAGCGCAACTGGGCGCTCTCTTGCATGCGCAGCTCGAGCACCGTGCGCAACGACTCGACCTCGGCCAACAGGGCAGCCTGGTCTGGCGCCACCACCGGCACCTGTTGCTGCTGCTGCTGCATTTGCCGCAATTGGGCGAGCTCGAGCTCTAGGGCGGCACGTTGCTCGCGTTCGCGCTGCTCCAGGCCCTGCAGGCGCCTTCGCTCCTCGAGCACCGACTGTTCCAGACTGGAGCGCTCCGATTGCTCGTTATCCACTGCAAAAAAGAGAAAGAAGGACCACAGTCAGTCACAACGTTGTACGAGCATCAGTTGAGTTTATGTGCATCGATCGACGGACGCGCTCGGTTTGTATCACTCGCGGTGAAATTCGATCTCGACGGGCCCTCGAAGTGCTTATAAATAGTAATTTATCGAGCGCTCTTGAGTAACACGCGGAAATGAATTTATATTATACATTTTCCATCCTATACATGCATATCATCGCTATATTCGGCATCGTCAAGTTTGCCGAGGCGATATATACCCACCACCTACGGTTTTCGCGCCATATCGGTCTCAAGTGGCGAGCGCGGACAAAAGAAATGTCACCGATTCGGATCACGTTCGCGGGCACTCGACGAAAAGCCGGCGCGCGACCAACGGTTCCTCCTCCTCCTCCTTCTTTGCTCTTTAGCCTTTTGGCGAGCCGCACTTTTGTTTTTTCTCCTTTCGCCGTCCGACTGTGTACTTATTACGTTAATCTTTATGCTCAGGTCTACATACACCTGCGTGGGCGCGAGTGCTTGGACAGCAGAAGCCGATAATCCTACCTGGGATTAATTTCGAAACGATCGTCGCCCGACAGCTGAAAACACAATCATTCACTCTGTTATTGTACGCGTCCCGACACTTTTGAATCAAGTCGATCACAAGAGTGATACCTACGGATGGCTTACAAATACAACGCGTGTACCGTAAAAACAATTCAATTCAAATATATAGGTGTACATTGTGCGCGCATCGGTCGCCGGTTACACGGAGGCTCTATTTTTAAAGGAGTCGCTCTTTGATTTTCTCGCAGGCGTAAACAAACTAAAGCTAAAAATAATGTTGCGATGGATATTAGCCCCCCCCCCCCGTTCCACTAACACACACCGGTATTTCGTTAATGCACGGGCTTATTTCGAGCTCCAGCATCGGGCGCGGTGGCATTTAGAGCCAATAAATCGGCCGATTTCGACAGCACGCACCGCCGATCCGATTCTCCTACGATTCGGAGCGACAATATTTTTTACTGCAAAAAATCCCGTTTGGTACCGAACCCAAGCTCGCAATTATCGCGTCGGCAGCTAAAAGAACCGATCGTGAGTTCTCAAGCGTTAACGAAAAACTTTCGTCCAGAACTCGAGTGTCCATCACAGGAATGAGCGACTTTGAAAAATCTCAGCTACCAGGCAACTACTACATATACTGGCCAGCTCGCATTCCTCCAATCGCTGCCGCGGCAGGGTCGTATTGCGATAACGCGAGTGGTCTCTTGCGACTGAATCGCACACGTCCAACTCTGGACCAGCGTCATTAACGCCACGGCAGCTCGCGAACCGAATTAGAGCGGCCGCTGGCCATTTACGCCAATGCTCTCTCGTGCCGTGGAATCACGACAACGAGCTCAAGGCAACTCGCAGGGAATACACCCGAGAGGAGTAAAACAAAACAAAAAAAAAAAAAAAAGAGCCGCGGATAAGAATGGAAGGTGCGCCGATACGAAACGATTTTTGTTTCTATATACTCCCCCACCCCCGTGGACCTGTACTCGACCCGCCTGACCTCGGTGGAGGACTTTTTGTTTTCGTTCGTCTCGAATCGACTCTTGCAACCGGAGAACTCGAGGAGATATCACCGACGCAACCGGTATTTTTCTCCCAACCCACGAGCACTCGCGTGCGTCTCTACCGTTAAAAGTATACACGTTTCTATTTTATTATTATTATTATTATTTTTCTTTCATCGCACGAGCATCAAACGGAGCAGAGGTGAGCGTATTATATACACTTACGCTCCTCGCGCAGACTCTCGAGTGCCCGATAGTGCTCCTCCCTTTCCTCGGCGAGCGCATCCTCGACGCTCGCGTACCGCAGCCTGAGATTCTCGAGCTCGGCTTTCGTCGTCAGCCAATCGGTCCTCATCTTCTCGAGGTCCTTTTTCAGCCTGTGGTTCGCACCGCTCTCCAACTGTTGATGGATAAAAAAAAAACAACAACATGTTTATCACGCGTTTGAATGTATTATTTCAATCATCATGCGTGTGGAGTTACGTACAACTACAAATGGGGGAAGGGAATAAGGTGTACCGAGCAGCACTCGAGCGAAGCGCGGGTGGAAAAACAGATGCGTTAAAATGCCAAGCCGAGCGCAAAGTTTCCTCGAACGAACGGATAAGCTGCCCCGGGGGGAAACCACACGAAACAAACTAAATTGATACACGCGGAAGAGGGCGAGGGAAAAAAAAAAAAAAAAAAAACACAAAATT